CCAAGCCCGTCGGGCGCGCGCCGGCACTGCCAAGCCACTATTGCAGTGGCGCGCTGCATGCCCGCACGCGGGGAGCTTCCGTGAGCAGCAATCACTCAAAGCAACGCGCGGCACACGACAGGAAGGGGGGAACTTGGATGGGATTCCAGGGTATGGTGCGGGCAAAACGGTGCCGCCGCCCAAGGGGGCGGGTGAAGCTGCCGCGAGCGCAAAAGCGTGTATAAATGGGAGGGTGTAAAGGTACAACAAGGGCGGACGTGAGATGGTGCTAGGCAGCAGCCTGCTCCCTAAAGGCTGCTCCCAAGGAATCTGGTCGCCGGCCGGCAGGAGACAAGGACAGGGAACATACTGCAGATTGCACAATTGGCCATGGGCGCCGCCATCCGACGCTGCAAGAAAAGAGGCGCGCCCCGCACGCGTCGCAACCTGGGACCCCGCTGCGCCCGCGCCGCTTGGCGCGGCGCGCGCGGCCCCCTCGTGGCCGCGGCGCGTGCGCCCTCCGCGGGACCCCGGCGCGCCCGCCCCACCCCGCCCGGGCCCTATACCGGGACGACGCGCAGCCTGAACCGCCACACGCTGCGCGCCACCTCTTCTTGGCTCTCGTCCAGGGGGGCGGGCCGGAGCTCGCCAGACGCCGGAACAAACAGCCGCCCGACCGCGTCCACGCCGCGCTCCGGCACGCCGCAGCACGCAACGAGCAGCCAGCGCAGCACGCCGAGCCGCAGCCCCAGCTCCTGCACGGCGCTGCTGTAGTCGGTGCGCAAATTGGCTTCGCCGATGTCGCACCAAGCGCCGTTGGGCGTGATCTTCATGCTGCCGCGGAAATCAAACTCGAGTTCCTCCGGGGGGAACCGCGGCAGCTGCGGCAGATAGGGCGCCGCAACGCCGCCCGCGCCGCCGGCCTCGTCGGCTAGGTAAGCGCCGGGGAACGCCGCGGCGACGGCGCACGCGACGCCGGCGCCGCCGGGGCTGAGGAGCTCCTGCGAGCGAGCGCCCAAGCCAGCAGGGTCGGCGGCGTTCATTGGCACGTCGCACTTGAATGATCGCTTCCAAGCGGCGCACACGCATATAGAGAAAGAGAGGCCATCCTTTTGCGTGCCGCAACCTCCACGTCAAGCGCCCTGCCCCCCCAAAGAACAGCACGCCCAGCGAGGCACATTCACTGGCGCGCGAGCGGTCGCGGGGCCCCGCGCCGCGCACCCACCTCCACTTGCTCCTCGCCAGGGCCTCGTCCTCCGCGCGGCCGATGGCGTCGCCGACGGCCGCCACGCACAGCTCGCCGCACTCGTCGACCCAGGCGGGGGCGCTGGCGTAGTCGCGCTGCGGCGCAACACGGCGTGCGCGCGCCGGAGAGGGGAGGTCAGTGGTTTGGGCCGGGCGCGCAAAGCTGTGCGCGCGCCCGCTGAATCGGGGTTGCACCGGGCAGCTTGCCGCGGCGCACGCGACGCGGTAAAGCAATGTTCCAGCGCGTCGGCCCCACATGCCCGTGCGGCGCTGCTATTGAGCACCCCTCTTGCCGCACGCGCTCGCGCGCCGCGCGCGCCCGCAGCACTCACGCCCCGCTTACCACGACCTGCGGCCGCAGGCCGAGCAGCAGCCTGAGCGGGATGCGGTCGTCGGCCAGGGTGGAGGCGAAGGACGCCGCGAGGTGCCCAGTGCGCAGGAGCGGGTCGCGCGGCGGCTGCCGCGCCCGCCCCGGCGCCGCCTTGGCGGCGTACCCGGGCGGCCACATCCGCGCCAGGTCCACCAGGGACCGTGCGGCCAGCGGCTCGACGTACGCGGGCCCGACCACGGCGGCCGCCTTGCCGCGCAGCGAATCCTCCACCAGGTAGCCGAGCAGCGCCTCCGTGTGGCTCATGCGCCTGTCGAGCTTGCTCACGTCCCTGTCGAGCTTGCTCATGTCCCTGCTGAGCGTGCTCATGCCTTTGTCCAGGCGCAGCAGGATGCTGCGAAGGGACGGCTCCTCGGCGCTGTCGGCGGCCTCGCCGTCCGAGGGCGCCGCCCGAGGGCGCGACGCGCGCTTACACAGCAGGGGGCGTGGCTGGGCCCGCGGGCCGCTGACCGAGCGGAGCTGCTGTCCCGCCCCAAGCGGGCTGCGGGCAGGCCAGGCCAGAGAGGGGCGATTCATGGTACCGTACGTTCCGACCCCGCGGGCGTCCCAGCAGCAACAGGAACGCTCTTGGATACCTGTTCAAACTGCAACAACGAACGGAAAATACTACAAGAGAAATCACCGAAGTCGCAAGCATGCAGCGAGGCGCACGTCGTGACCGTGATTTAGGTAATGCTAAGGTTTCAGTAATGCTGTGTCACAAGGGTCCAAGCCCTTCGCACTGCAAGGACTGTACGTACATAAGGTCATATTGGCTGGCAAGCGCGCAACAGCGCGGAATTGGGAAGGTCGCAGGCGCGCAGCGCCTGCATTGTGCCAGCTCTGCTTAGCTGCTGCAGTGTGGCACAACCTTGCTGGCGTGCAAGGTCCTGGTACTGTAGCATAGTTCATGCATGTGTAGTGCTGTCACAAAACATGATATGGGGCCATCGCACTAACTTTGCACAGACTAAGGGTAAGGGGGCGCAAACGTGCAGCTGTGCACGCCAGGGCAGAGGGTTGCAACGCAGCCTGGAAGTCTGCTGCAGCAGTGGCAGGATGCTGCCTCGACCCTTAGGGCAGCCGTTTGCACCTCCCACGCCATAATGTACCTCTCATTTTGTGTGCTGTTTTGGAAGTTGCTGTCGAAGGGTGGCTGCTATCATAATGTGCATGCAGCTGCTTGGTGATCAGCGAAGGATGCACGGCCGACGCGCCCCAACAGATCGAGATGAGCTTGAGCTTACGGTTTGCTGCG